TAAGGAGTGTTTCAACCTCTGAAGAGTGTAGATGATCATGTCCCTGTGACCGGGAACGTGTCCTGTAACTGTTTAATTTGCTCATACAGACCCAGTCTATGGATATGATCCAAAATTTCAGAAGGCAATGGCAAATTTCCCATCAAGTTTGGCAGATCTGACAGTACAAGCAGTGTTACCAGGTGTCTCACCAAGGTGGGACATGTCCTCCACTGGAGATTTTCAAGAATAGGTTAGATAAAAGTCAACCTGTTATGGTCTAGATATACCATTTCCTTTCCCAGAAATGGGATGTGGACCAGATGATCTCAGGAGGTCCTTCCAGCCCTACATTTCCACATCTCTGATGATGGACCATGAATTCCCCACCCTTATGTAGCTTGCTCCAGCCCTCCCACGTGGGCATCCCTCCCTAAATTATCTCTTCTGTATCTCAAAAACACACAGCAAGTCTCCAGCACTGACTCATTCATCTCTATAGCTACTACAAATTCTCATTTGCTCCACATCTTTAGTACCTCCAGGGCTTGAGATGAATGACAGAACGTTAGCAACAGGCAATTCATTAATACTAGAGGCAGTCCAAAATTTTCCATTGAAACCTTTCTTGTTTTTTTGACTCTGATAGGAAAGGAAATTGGTGGGGGAAAAAATAATTGCTTTGGTAAAAAAAAAGGATCTCTTTCTGATGAAGAACTTGAAACCTAGGTTTTGCAATATTACTTCTCTGGGGAAAACTCATCGCCTTACAACTCATTTCGACACTCTGCAAAGGGGGTGAAATTTCCCCCTTTGCCTTTATGTATTTTTTTTAGGGAATAAAGGTACAAAAGAAGAATGCAAGACAAAGAAGGACAAGAAGGAAAAAGTCCACCAAGGCAACACCTAATTCTAGCATTTTTCCATCATTTTCCAACAAAAATGTAAAACTTCCTGCATTACTTCTTGCATTTTCGCCAAATGTGTTTCTAATTGTTCCACTGGCAAACACCACTGTCTGCACATTGTATCACGTACTCTCTCTGCTCCCAGACCCCCACGGTCAACGCCAGCCCCCTCCATCCTTCGGTGCAGCGGGGAGAAGAGCTCTGCCCATCCCTTCCAGGAGTTCAGGGGGCACAATCTCCTCCCAAGCACTCAAGTACTGGGGTCACCAGGGCCACCTCTGTGCCCAAGGTAGACAAAACCCTCAATGATGCCACAAGATCCTCCCATGGGACACAGAAAAGGCTCCACCCAGCAGCAGTAGCTTTCCATGGAGCTGAAAAGCCCCCGGGCTGGATCCTGACTCCCATCTAGAAGTCAGGTCAGCCACATAAACCTACTATTCCTACTCGCTGAAGGATGTCTTGGTCCTTACTTGGTCCCTCAGGGTCCAGAGGCCACCCTGAGAAGCAGGACTGCAGAGAAGAGGGGGGTGAAGGGGGATGCAACCTGTCCCTGTAGTGCTCTGTGTGGGCAGCACATGCTTTGGGGAAGGAAACTGAGGCAAGAAGCACCTCGGTGCTGGAACCTCCATCACACTCAGTCACAGCGGTGGCTTCCAGCACCTTGACCCCAGCCCTGATGCTCTGCGTGGGCTCAGGTAGGTCACGCACACCTCTGCCTCAGTTTCCCCACAGCCAAAGAGGAACAGTCACAGGGCACTCATTGGCAAGCAGATGACACCGTGCATGACTTGATCACCTTCAAACCTACCTGCTATTGATGGCTTCAAACCAGATCTTGTCATGGAAGTCACAACTTTTGGAAACCATTAGGAATGAGTATGTCCTCCCACTATTTCCATTGGTTTGCCAAGGGAATTTATTTGGGCATAAATACATAAAGAAATCCTATATATAAATAACTACTTAATAAATGCATACAAATAAAGAGAAAGACGAATAATGTAAGGACGAATAATGTAAGGACGAATAATGTAAATAATATAAAGAAATCCTATTTATTCTGTAGGATCTCTGAGCACAGGCAGTCTCTTGCAGACATGCACAGCCCTGCCATGGCTGCTCTGGCCTCACTGAAGGCTTCTGGGCTCAAATGCAAATGCAAACAAATCATCCATCCCTTGGACTGGGAGTAGCCTCCGTATCACAGAATCACAGACTGGTTTGGATTGGAAGGGACCTTAAAGATCATCCAGCCCCACCCCCTGCCCCGGGCAGGGCCCCCTTCCCCCAGCCCAGGGTGCTCCCAGCCCCGTCCAACCTGCCCTTGAACCCTTCCAGGGAGGGGGCAGCCACAGCTGCTCTGGGCACCCTGGGCCAGCCCCTCACCCCCCGCACAGGGAAGGATTTCTGCCTTAGATCTCACCTAAATCTGCCCTCAGTCAGGTTAAAACCACTATCCCTTGTCCTGTCATCGTGGCCATCACTGCTGGGCATCACCTCCGTGTTGTAGGTCTGGCAGCAGGTCACAGGCACACAATATCTGCAATATTAATTTGTCTTGGTATAAAGAGGTTACTCTAAGAAAAAAGGGAATTCCTCCCTTTAGCACAGACTTCCTTGATGACCTTGTGCTAGTTGCTCACTCTATCCCACCCTCACCTGGAAATAACACTCAGGGGGACAGAGCGAGTTTAAAAACCATTACTGGTGTGCTCTTTGGTTTCTCCAAGGAATTGTTTCCCAGCCTTGGAGCATCGCATTACGCTGATTTGCAGCGGTGGCAGAGGGCTGTAAGGAAATCTCCCCCTGTTCTCTGCTGCTGAGGAGCCTTCATCCATGCAAAAGCCCAGCAAAGGCCATGGAGGACAAGCCCCACGTGTGCCATCCTTGCTCCTCTCTAGCAAAAGGTCACTAGGAGATAATTTTGGCTGCTGGGTGGCCCAAAATGTTGCCCAAATAGGCTGTGGAGTCTCCATGCTTGGAGATGTTCAAAACCCACCCAGTAGGCACTCCTGTGAGCAGGAAGGTTCTTGATAACAAGAAGGATTTGGAGAATTTGGCTTTTCAAAAGAACCCAAACAATAAACAACACTTTAAAAGATGCCTAATTTGAACAGAAAATGAGAACAATTAGCCACAACATCACTTATGCATTAATGAAGAGGCGCTTATGTTCCAGGGCTGAGCATCAGAGCAAACACTTCTCTTGCAATATGCTGCAAGGAAGAAAAATGTGGGCGAGCAGATAAGGATGTCAGGGGAAAGAGAAGCCCTAAGGGTGTCCTGAAAGCTGAGAAGCAACACAAGGAGAGCTGAAGCCTTCCAGCTCCTCTTGGGTTCAGCATCTGAGCTGACCCAAGCCCTTTGCTTGAGGAGGAAACCCAGCCCAGCTCACCCTGCTGTAACAGTGTGAATTTGCTGGAGCAGACAGGAGGGATGGGAGGGTGAGCAATCCACATTTAAATATGCAAATAAATAAGTCTAATTAACCTTCACACCAGTGAAAGAGCTCACGACAGCTCTCCAGCTCTAGGACAGCTTTCAGCTTTAGCCCTGCCATCACGGAGATAAGCCCAGATCTTGGAAGGTGACCAGACAAAAAGCTGAGTCAAAAATCACGGCTGGCTGAAACCGATGAAAGGATTGTGTCACTTCTGGAAAAACCTTTCCCTACAGCCTCCATCCCTTCAAAACAGAGACCCTGAAAATCCCTGGCCATTTTCTCGCATCTCAGACCACCACCGCCATCACACCTGGATGCCCCTGAGCCCGCAGCATCACTTGCATCCCCAGCAAGAGCCAGAGCTGATGTTGAACTACAGAAAAAAAAAAAAAAAAAAAAAAAAAAAAGTCACTGCTCGAACCGTTTCCCACCCAGGGACATGGGAAAGGGGATGACTGCCAGCTCGGCTGTGCCACACAGTCCCCAGTGGGACAGAGAGGTCAAAACCCAACTCCATTTTAAATCTGCATGAATTTACTACCTGTTTGATGGCAGGGTGTCACCTCTAAACCCCCCTGGGGAAAAAAATCAGTCTTGCAATGGTGTAAACACCTTAACATTCACATGGGTAGGGGGAAAAGCAAAAAGGCCACTTTTATCACCACAAACCCCAGCTTCGCTCTCTGCCACCTCCACTCCGGCCTCGGCGGGCTCTGCCAAAGAAAGCTCTGGAAAACACATTTGCAGCAAAACCCTCCTTGCACATGTACGTGCAGGGCAGGCACCCCATCACTTTTGTTTTGCATTCTCCACACACCCAACCCCTCCACCCGGAGAGGAACAACAAGAGCATCTCAAGGCGAGGAGTTTCGTGCTCTGAATCCCAAACGGAGTTTCTGTTTTGGGGTGAAATAAGGGCGCCTCCCTCTAGCCCAGGGTGGGGAAGGGGGGATCTGGGGGGGCGAGGGGGAGGAGGGATGTGTCTGTCACACCGGCCACGCTGCGTTAAAACATGGCAGCATCCGAAGGCTGCCCCACCCAAGCGGCCTAGGACGTGTGTCACCCGCATCCCGCTTTGTTTGGGGGATGCTACCGGCCCCGGGGGGGGTGCTGCATGGGACCCTCCCACCCGTGGGGCACCCCAGTGGAGAGTAGGGCCCAGGGGGGGATGCCGGTCCTTTGGGTTGGTCGCATCGCGGCAGCTTGGGATGCGCTTGGAAAGGACCAGAGGCGACTTGCACATCCCCGGGGGGGAGCACCCCAAACCTTCCCCCCCCTCCTCCTCCCCCCCCCCCCCCCCCCCCCCCGCTGAAAGCCAAGGCTGTAGGTGTCTCTGAATTTTGGGAGGCAGCGGGGCGGGGGAGGGCGGGACTACAACACACACACACACACGCTCAAAAACGCTGCAAGCCCACCCGAGAAAAAGCCCCCCCCCCGTGTATTCACTGCCTGCACAGCACCTCCCCACACCCCCTCAACGACACCTTGAGAAACAGGGAATTTTAAGGGCCTCCCCCTCCCTGAATTATTACACCCAGGGTGGGATGTGTGTCCCCCCCCCCCCCCCGGGGATGGGCAAAGAGGGGACCGGAGGAGGACTGGCGACCAGCCGGCGGATTTGGGGGGGGGGGGGGGGGGTCGGGGTTTAAAGGGGGGGTGTCTCTCACCTGTAAGACGAGCTGACCCCCGCCGCCACCTCCTCCTTGATCTGCCTGTTGAGAGCATCGGCGGCCGCCCTGCCCCTGCCCGCGGCCGGGGGCTGCCCCCCCGCCTCCTCCGCCTTCTTCCTCCCCTTCTCTCTCCCATCCCCGGCTCGCACCCCTTTGAGCTGCTCATCCTCCCCCTCGGGGTCTTCCTCTTTCTTTTCGGGAGCGGGGAGAACCTTCCGTCGTTTTTCCTGAGCTGTTTTCTCCGGCGAACCGCGGTCCAGGGCGAGGACGGGGGAAGGTCCCGGTTTGGGGATCCAGGGATGGTCCCCCCGTTTGGGGATGGGCCAGGCACGGAAATCCTTCTGGTACTGCGTCTCCTTTTCGAAAGGGGTATCCGAGGGCTGGTACTCGCTTTTGGGTTTGCAACTCGGCTCCGGTCGTTGCACCTTCCAGGGTTTGTAATCGTGTCGCATCACCGAGTCAGCCGGGGGAGAGGGATGCGGGGCCGGGCCGGGCCGAGCAGCACCGGGAGCCGGTTCCCCGCCGCCCCCGCTTCCTCCTCCTCCTCCTCCTCCTCCTCCTCCTCCTCCTCCTCCGCCCGCCTCGCCGCCGGGCTGGGTCTCGATGGGAGCGGCGGGGCGCGGAGGAAGCGCGGAGGCGGCGGGTTGCTCGGTGGCCTCGGAGTATTTGGTGAAAACGAGGGGGACGGCGATGTCGGCTTTGTCCAGCTGGTTCCAGAAGCGAGCGATGCAGCAGGCGCGGGTGATGCAGGGCCACGCCATGGCGGCCCCCGCGCAAGGAGCGCACCCGCGGCCCCGCACCGCGCCCGCGGCCCCGCACCGCGCCCGCCGCAGCGCCGGGCAGCCCGCGGAGGGGCGGAGCGCTGGCCACGCCCACGCCCCGCCCACGCCCCGCCCACGCCCCGCCCACGCCGCACCGGAGGGGGCGGGGCTTATCCGGGGGCGGGGCTTGGCCTGGGGATCTGGGGGGGGGGGGGGGGGGGCACCTGTGAGGCACCTGCACATACATGTGCGGGCACATACAGGTACGGGCACACACGTGTACAGGCACACACGCGTGCAAGACACGCCCACGTGTGCGTGCACATGCACACGCACAGGCACACGCACACGTAAGACACCTCTGCGCATGCCTGCACACACGTGCACAGTTACGCGCGTGTACACACACATGTAAGACACACCCACGCATGCCTGCAAGCCTGCACCGGCACACACGCGTGCAAAACACACCCACGCGTGCATTCACATGTATGCACACACTCAGAGGTACACACACGTGTAAGGCACGCCCAGGCAAGCCTGCACACACGTTTACAGTTGCACACATGCACACAGAGCTGCATATCTTCACACACATGCATGGACAATCACCTGCACGCACAGATGCATGCACACATATGTGCATACATGTGCACACACGCATGTACACTAATGTGTTCACACATGCACATGCTGACAAACAGGCACTCACAGACACACTGTGCACACACATTTGCACACACATGCGCTCACACATGCAAACACAAACACAAGCAGGCACACCGACACCTATTCACCTGTACACCAGCACACATACACGTGCAACATGCACATGCACACACATGTGCGTATGTGTAGGCGTAAATGAATGCAGATATTTGCACACATACGTGCACATGCACACTTGTGTGCACAGATACACATATCCTCATGGACATATGGAAGTTCAAGCACATACGTGCACACATAGGCACCTATACACCCCCACCCATACACACATGTGCCCAAACATGTTCACAGGTGCTTGTGCGGATCCACTGCCAGCCCACCGAACCCCTTTCCCCTCCCCGTGGGGTTTTTAGGGATAAAGCCAAATGCACACACGTGTGCACAGCCACACATGTGTGCAGACATGCACTGACAGGCATGCACAGCCATGCAGGCACACAAGTTTGCACAGCTATACACACATATGTGTGCTCATCTGTGCACACACAGACACACATGTGTGCATAGATGTGCACACACACGAGTGCTCATCTGTGCACACACACACACGTGCACAGCCATGCACTCTCATGCACAGGCATGCACACATGTGCGTGCTCATCCATGCACACACACACATGTGCACAGCCATACACACACATGCGTGCTTATTCCTGCATCTTGCTCTTTATTCCCCAAACCCAATAAAACCCTTTTTTCAGCCCCAATTTCATCCACCTTCTGCTCCACCCACATTCAGAAGACCCCAAGAAGATCCACACACTTAAATATTGAATTATAACAAGAAAAATCCCAATTCCCACCAGGCAGCGAGTGCAGCTGCTGGGAGTGCCATGAAAAACAGGATTACTCCTGCCGGGATTGTTTCTTTAATCCAACATTTTCCATTCCCTCACTGAGACGTGGACCCTGTTTTTTTTTGGTTTGTTTTTTTTTTTTTTTTTTTTTTTTTTTGTTGTTGTTGTTGCTTGTCTCTCTCTTGATTTGCTTGATTTCAGTCATACCCGTAGGTAAATTGTGGAAACCCATTTTACAGATGGGATCGGAGCCCTCGCTGATAGGGATGACTGAACGAAAGAGCTGCTTTTGGAACAAAACAAAACAAAAAAAAAAATGCAACTAGAGGTGTCTACACCAGGCATTGCTTTGCCCACAAGGATTATATCATCCCTGCTTTTCCACCCGGTGCAATTAAAAGAGTTGATTATAATTAAAGAATTAGGAAGCCCCTCAGTATCTCCCAGGTTGGGACTGAGCTGGTTTTCTGGGGCATCAACTCCTCATCTATTGCTTTTGTAAGCATAGTGCATGCTCCTCTCCACCCACAATAGATGTGCTAATCTCCATTTAGGCTGATTTTTTTACCCTTAAATCCAGTATTATAAAGGCAGGTGGCTCTTGCTGCACCGCACGTTCCTTTTGCAGAAGATGCAACTGTCGGCTCGTCCGTCCGGGTCATGCAGCAAAGGTGGGACAGTAATCCCACAACTGCTGGTGTCAGACCCCAGCTTTGCATTTCCACACCCGCTGCTTTCTGCACACGGTGATGGCAGACAGCTTTCTGCATCCGATGGACTGTGGTATTAAAAAAAAAAATATATATATATATATATATATACGTGCATATATATATATGTATATGTATATACGGGAACAGCAACAAGGAAAACTGGAAAAGCATCACCCTACAATGATGACCCAAGGTCTGCAAGGAAGATACATGATCAAAAGATTGCAACGGGATCAAGCTTGTCGGCCTGTGAATCTCAAGGTTGTGCTTATTTTGAAATACTCTCTGTAATTTCATTTATTTCCAAGCTGCTGCAGTGATTTTTGAGGGTGGAAACCCCATCTTGCTCTGAGATCTGATGCCCCGCACATGCTTGGGTTTTTCTTGCAGAAAACATTTTGAATTGCATCTGTATTGCTGTTTCAGGGTTTGCAGTGCTATTAGTGTAATTTTTTGCCATTAATATAATGGGAAAGTAACATATGAGTGGGTGCAAGCCCAGACGAACCCATTGCAACTGCTCCCATCTTGCACAGTGCCTTGCACCCGTTTGGGGACCGGTGATTTGCACGTGCACAAAATGGTTTTGAACATTTCTCCGAGTTTCCCTCATCTGCAATGAGCCTGGGCTCATCTCCCGTGAAAACGCTCAGTCATGCACTACCCGTCTTTCTTTTTTTTTTTTTTTTTTTGATAAGAAAAGACACGGGCAAAACTGCTCTGTGAGGTTTTGCAGCGTCAGGAGACTTTTTGCTGCTCTGCAGATACCAGGCAGACCTGGATGGAGTTAGAAGCTGCAGAATGAAAAAAATTGCTTAGCATCTCCTGCAGTGAAACATATAGTTATATATAAATCTTGAAGCATGGCCGCTCATTCACTTTCAGGAATCAGCTATGGAAATAACTTAATTGCTTACGTCAAGTCAAATCCATTATCTCTAATCAGCCAAATTGATTTGCTGGCTGCAAACCTCTCTCTGAGAGGATGGGAGTTAAATAAATAAAAATGTCTCCGTGTTTAAATTACAGCCACCGCGGCAGAAAGCAGGAATAGCTTTCTCCTTCTCCAGCATCTTCTGGGAAAAGGCCGTGGTCGAGTGTGACACCACATGGTGGGATGTTGGTCTTGGGGATGGCCAAGGACACGGGTGTCAACCGGCATCGGACTGTGCCAGTCTGGGGCACAATCCTGCCCAGAAGTTTGCACGATGCTGAGGGCACCGCGGTGGGGTGCAAAGCAGAGCGAGCCCAGTATGCAGCACCCAAAAGTGCTTTTGGGTGGACCCTCAGGCAGTGGTTCCCTGTCCCATCCATACTGGGATCTTCTGGCATGGAGGGAGGGAATAGATGTTTTGGGAGCTGATGAATAAGGGACCTGGTGAATCTTCTCCTGGCATCCTCAAGTGGAGCCAGGATGGCTTTCACTCAAACTTAAGCTGGTGGAGACCACCCTGGGGCAGGTTTGATAGTCTCTCCTGCTTTCCATGACGGCATGAAGAGCACACTCCCCAGCTAGATGATGCGAGAGGATGCCGCCATCCCAAGAGCTTGCCCAGATTTATGTTTTTCTCTGCTGGATCTGATGATGAAGAGGGAGCAGCTTGTTTTCTCGGACCACCAGCTGACATCTCATCACGTGCTGTCTGTACATGTTCTCCCCCCCCTTGGCCCTCTACATACATATCCACCAATTCTTGTAGGAAGCAACGTGATGGCATTGTAGGGGTGGTGTGGCAAAGCTCAGTGCAAGACCTTATAGGAAGGGAAGGACATTTTGTTTAGGAAAAGACCCCTACATGGTGTAGCCATCTCATAGGGGGGCACCTGGCTCCTGGCTAATCACTGTCCTCCCCGTGAGTGTCAGCGGGAGGGGGTGGCAGCTCATCCCATTGCTCTCAGGAGATCACTGACAAGAGCTGTAATGAAGTGAAAATGAGAAAAAATATATAATCGTAACAAGGTGGGGCTGGCATAAGCCCCATAAGTCCTTTCTCCTCCATTATAGGAGGACCCTGGACATCAGCCTCATGGGCTAAAGGTAGGTGAGACTCCAGCTCCAAAGCTAGACCTGGACCACACCTTGAGACCCCCCAGTGAAGTGTGTTCAACTCCACCCTACCCCAGTGAGATGAAGGAAAGCTCTATTCACTTATATTTAACTTCAGCAGCACTGTGCCTCCGTGTCCTTGTCGCATCAGGGTTGTCCCAGGCACTCACACAGCTTTGCAGGCGCTATCTCTGTACCAGACACTTGTCTGAATTACTCCTGTCCCCAACATGTATCATCAGGGATGCAAGAATGTGACAACACTGTGGGTAGCAACTTACAGGGGATTTCTAGTGGCTTCTCAAATCTTAAATCATTTTCTAATCACACACAACTGCTGGGAACAAGGATCTGCCTGGAGTGTTCTTGTTTTCCTTGTCGACTTTGTTTATGATTCATATATGTTGGAAGAGTCCTTCAAGGCTAAATGGGATGGGAGCCGAAGAAAATCCATTTCAGAGTGCTGCATAAAGAGAATAATTGAAGTGCATGAAAAGAAGAATTTGACCGATAATTCAAGTGCTCTAAAGGACATAAAATTCTGTAACAAAAATCACTGGTGTAACATGGCCAGATTTCAGAAGAAGTGATTTTGCAACAAGTAGCGGGGGGAGTAAAATCTGAAAGACTGTATTTTGAAAGAATTTGCATTAAAAAAAAAAAAAAATAACAGCAGGCAGAAGTGGGTACCTCTCACACCCATGCTCTTACCCAGAACTGGAGACAGACAAAGATCAGGTTTGGTGCAATGGTATCACATAGGTTTGGTGTGGTGGGAAGTTCCCCAGCAAGAAGAACCTCACAGGGAAGATACAACTACTGCTGGTGGAGTGATGGGTCAGAGACAAATGGGACTCAGAGAAACCACAGGACAACTACCAAAAAGATTCCTTTGTTTTCCTTCTGATAATTTTGCCCATTGGAGGGGAAGTTAGTTTGGTGGGAGGCTCTAGGAGTGCTTTAGGGGGAAAAAAAAAAAGAGTGTTATCTATGATTAGAAGAGAAGAGCAGTGATCTGGAGAGAACTTCTAGCTCTTCTACTGGATCAACAAGTCCCATAGGGTCTACATGTGTTGGGGCTTCAACAAGGGACTCAACAAGGAGCCATGACCAGCTTCTCCTGGCAGGGCAAAGCAGGAGAGCTATGCAGTGTCCTGGCTTCCCTTACATGCCACTGCATTGTCCCTTGCATGCGTCCCTTCAGCTGCTCCGTGTTAGGCTTTCTCAGCCCTGATCCCAGAGCATGGCCAGGTCTCCACGTGCAACCTGCTCCACTCGTGAAGTCCCATGGGCACGCCCCACCGCACTGACTTGCAAAGCTCGGTGGCTTTCAAAGCCTACAGCTTGGTGACTCAGGGCTTCATGGTACTCAGAGATGGACGTTGACCAATTGAGTCACAAGGGCCACTGATAAAGGGATTACAGAGGATGACCTATTGAGGAATTAAAGGAATTTAATGTTCCCAGGCTAAACACCAGCCATCGGAGGTTGGATAAATAACTATAAATATCTGAGAAAAGCCAAGGAGAATGTAGTTAGAGCTATATCATGGGCCACATGTGTGCGTGAGTCTGAGTATGTTAGGAAATAAGAAGAAATGGTGAGAAGCTTACAAAAAAATGGAGGAAGATGAGGTTTAAAAAGCCACAGAAGTGAGAATTAGGCAAGAAGGGTAAATTAAAGAGCATTCAAATTTTCCAGGAAATGCTAACGTGGGACTTGTAGGGATTGCTAGCAATCAGAGCTGAGTGGTCCCAGAGGTCCCTGCCATGCCTGCAGCCACTCAGTGATGGTCTCTCTTTGGTGTTCCCAAAGAGAGCATCCACCCTGGCCTATCCACAACAGAAACCCAAGTCAGCAAAGAGAACAAGAGAAGGAAAATGTAAAAGGGACCAGAGAAACATGTGGCTGCAAGAGAAATTAGATGGGCCTTTTAGTAGATAGGTCCTGCCATGGAGAGGTTCATCTAAGGGCCAGTAAAGTTTTTTTCCACTGTTATCATTGCTTTCAAATAGCAAATCATCACACATGTCCCAGACAGGGAGAGGTTGAACGACGTGCTGAAAGTTACACAGAAAGCCTGGGAATGAATCTGTATCTTCTCATTTCTCAGTGGAAATCCTTCCCATCCCATATAATTACTTCCCCCAGAGCAGGGAAGATGGGGATTGTGTTACTACAAGGACAGACGTGATGTAAGGTTATACCCATAGCATGGCTCCTTTCTAGAAGGACACTGCAAGGTGTGGTGGTCCCCCACAGACACAGAAGCATGGACCTTCACCGCTCCATTTCCAGCCCAGATCCATGTGAAGTCACTGTAAAGGTAAAGCCTTTTTTGATCTGATAGGTTTCTTACCAGCCTAGCTCCATCACGAGTTTGGTTTTGGGTTTTGGTTCTATTTCTTTCCAGTCCTCAAAGATGATCCCATGACTATTAAGAGTTGTGAAGGATGTTCCAACAGGAGCAAGACCCTTTACTAAGGATGGGGTTGGCCACGATGGGACCGGGACCTATCTGCCAAGCAGTGCCAGAGTTGATGGATGTACTTTTTTTGACTATCACCCGCATCTGCAGTTCCCCTGCCAGAATGTAGACAGTGCCAGGGAGAGAGAGCAAGAAGAAAGGAGCAGAGCAGGACAATGTGACTGGCAAAGAGCAAGGTGAGACCTTCAGAGATGGCTCCCTGCAGAGAAATGAGTCTGGCTGAGGCTTGGGTGTAGTCTGAGCTGCTAAACTGGGCCATAATAGGCCTTTCCAGTTCCTGCCCCTCAACTCATCCTGTTAGATTAAAGTTTTCCTTGGAGAGATCCCAATACTTGCAGAGAGCAATTTGCCTCTTTCTGAGTTAAACAGATAAAATAAATTAGACAAATTCACTGTGGAGGTTTGTGTTCCCTGCTGTGACTCTGCAGGGATCCTGGTCTGCTTAGTTTGGACTTCAGCATCCAACATTTAGATGGTGAAAGCCAGGTGAGGTCATAGAATGAGTTTGGATGGAAGGGGTCTCTGTGGTCTCTGCTCCAACCCGCTGGTCAAAGAAAGGCCGATGAAATTAAGTTGCTCATGGTCACGTCCAGGTGAGCTTTGACTGTCTCCTCCTGCCCTCAGACTGCTGTTCCAGGGTTTGACCACTCTCACAGGAAAAAACATGATTCCTTATATCTTACAGGAATTTATTTTGTCCCAGCTTGGGCTGTCATCTCTTGTCCCATTACTGGGCACCTCCAAGGAGAGCCCATCTCCGTCTTCTCTCTGCCATCCCAGCAGGGAGCTGCAGAAAACTGTATAAACCCTTTTTGCCATCACTCCCACTGCACACACCCAGCTCTCAGCCTCTCCTTGCACAGCCCAAGCTCCAGCACAGACCAGCTTGGTGGCCCCGGTGGGCTCACTCCCATCAACAACAAGAAATATATTGACCATGGTTGCTTTCTTATTTATTTCCAAACTTCAGAGACAGAGCTCTGCTCTTCCCTAAAATAAGCCACAGGTTTTATTTTATCTACACACAACAAGGAGATGCATCTCTCTTGGATTCTCCTGGCTGTCTAGAAAACTTTGATCCCTCTCTGATTTAAGCAGAAGATTCCAAAGCCCTCCATAAGTAGGTATTTTTCTCTCCTGATTTAAGGAAGTAGAAAGACAAAAAGCAAATTACATATCCACAGCAGAGCACAACATAAATATTTATTACCCACATGAGCCTTGCTTCACTCCTTAGTCAGCTCTTCTAAGTATCTGACTTGTTCCTAATAAATACGGAACATGGGTCTTTCCTTGTCATAATAAGCCACAAGCAAAGAGCTGGGACTTTTTCTAATACAACTGCTTGAGGAACCAGCAATACAACTCCTCCATGGCTTAGACTGAATTTTCTGGGAGCAGAATATGCTTCCCACATGCCTGGGTGTCCCCAGGGCTCAGGTGTGACCCTTTGCACTAGCAAAAAAAAACAAAAGAGCTCCATGGCATGGCTTTGCTCCAACAAGGACGAGACTGCAGGATGGAAGACACCTTGAAACATCACCTCTGGATCAGTCCCTGCAAGGACTTTCCCCTCCTTGGTCCCACCATGCACCTCCCTGGCCATGCTGGGGTTTGCACAGTGCAGGAAGACCAGGAACCCTAGACCTGCAGATTTCCCCACAGCATTTTGGAAACTGATGTTGGTTTCTCACCAAGAAACATCTTATCTCCAGGCAATAGAGCTGAAAGAGTTAAAAGCCTCCTTTGTTTTCTCAAAGCAGACAGGGCCTGACATTTGCAGCGGAAGACAAAGGATGGGGAGAGATTCAAGCGAAATCTAAGTCGGTTTCAGGTCAATTAAAGAATTAAAGCAAACGGTGTCTCTAGAAAAAAGAGCCTTTGGGGTTTTACCAGAGCCCTGTTGTTTCTAGTGACTCTGGAAAATGAAGTCTAACAGATGTAAATTCCTCATAGCCCAGCGTCTTCCTAGGGCCTGTCAAAGAGGAGGGGTTATTTTTCAGCTAACACCTCTGATTCGCTTTTGCCAAGGGTTGTTCTTAGTTTTGTTCTGTAATTCTTGGCGGCGGTGAGCTTGGGGATTTGAAATGCCCCTTAGACAAGCGAGTGACGCCTTTGTGTGTGCGCCGGTGCTTTAGCAGTGGATCGGCTTGTTGTTTAATTCAGCCTGTTAACGGTATTATTCTGTATCCTGGTTACGAGACCCTTGGTTTTCCCAGGCCTCTCACGAGGTGATTTCTTTGTTTACCTAAGCAGCCTGTCAGTTCCCTGAGGAATTTTTCCCCAAATTTCTGATTTTTTTTTTTTTTCCATTCAGTAAGTTGCAGCTCTTTGCATGTGACGAGGCAAAGGTTCAGACCATGTACCTGCTTGGAGGTAGAAATGCAAAAGGGAGGTAGTATTTCCTTTCTTACACACCCATATAAATGTGTGCAAGGATGCACATGGAGGCTTGTTTGCCCCATGCATGCATGCATCCATCCATCCATCTATCCATGCATGTATGTCCTGGCAGAGGTGTGAGATTGCTCGTGTACCCCACTGCTGAGCAGTGAAACACCCTTATGTTGTTCTCCCACCTCCTTGACGGAGACTGAAACCCATCCACACCATATCACTTGCAAACACAAGTGGCCTGTCTGTGCTTGTCCATTCTCTTTGTCCCTTCCTGCCGTGCATGGGGTAGTTTGTAGGGGAACGAGGGAAATAAAACCTGGCTCACACGCACAAATGCCTCATCCTTTCTGCGAACACCCAAATATTGCAAAATTTGAAAGAGACAGGCAACTGAAGGCAGGATTGGGTCCTGAAGGGAGTTTACTTCCCAGATTCGTGTCGTAAAAGCATGAAATCCTCACCCTCTAACCACGTGGTGAGTCATATTGGCATGAAGTTGGTGACACGGCCCGGCAGCATTCCTCTCCTCCCCATACGGGCGGGTGGCTGCGGGCGGTCACCATCACCACTGTATGTTGCACAATACTATACTGTAAGACTGGGTAAATATTGACAGGTGACTTTGCACTTTGCATTCGCCACTTGCGGACCTTCCTTCTCCTTTTGAGACGTTCACGCAGAGCCCAAGATGAAGGTCGAGTTTGCTCCGCTCTCCGTGCCACTGCAGAGGAGGCTTCAGACAGCATCGGTGGTTCAGTGGGTCTTCAGCTTCCTATGTCTAGGTAAGAGACATCTCCTTTTCCTTCTCTGAGAAGACAGAGCAGCTTTTGTCCCAACTCCTTCTCTCCCTGACCCGAACGAAGACCAAAGGTCTGGGACCAAAGGAAAGTGGCATTAAAAACATCTTCTGAGAGCTTCCAGTGAATCCCAGGCCCTGTTAGGACAAGTGATTAGCAGCAGAAATTGCACTTGCATGTCTCTGTCTCACTGTAAGAAGAGCAGTGCTTGTTTTTTTTGCTTGTTTGTTTGTTTTGGGTTTCTTCTCTCCATCCAATCTGAGCACAGTGGAGCTAGGGAAGTGCCTGGCTACGTGCCTGTGCACGGGAACATCGACGGGTCTTACCCAGCAGCTAAACCAGCATGGGGTTTCAGCTTCTCCTGCTCTTTAGATTTTGTGTTTTCCTGGTCTAAGGTATGGCCCTGCTCAGCATTAGTCATGAGAAATGGCATTCCCATGCCTGAGGGATGGTACGATGGGAAGAGCATGAGGGACTCTGCTTTGCAACCCTGGGAACAGACACCTCACTTTATACAGATGTCCCTGCACACCCCAAAAGGACATTTTTCCAGGAAAACCCAATCAGGTTGGGGAAGAGACGAACTCGCTACTGTGTGGAGGGCACCAGGTGCTGATGGAGATGAGAGACATGCAATTTTGGATAGGATGCACTGGGAAATAAGGAGATGGGAGACCCAGAGGCAGTTTATCAGAGAGTGCAAACTGTCTGGGATGATTTACAGCCCATCAGAGGCCAAGCTGGAAGGTGACAACCTAGGGTTTGCCATTGTCATGCCAATTCTTAACCTCAGATGGGATCTGTGTAAAGCTTCTGCTTTATTGTGGCAGGATAGTTGTTGACTAGTCCCAATACACAGAGGCAGCAGATCTTTGTGTATATATGGGTCCAGGCACACAAGCATCTCAAAAACAATAGCTGGAGAGAAAGCAGAGGCTATGCTTCAGAGTCTCATTAAGTTTCTGAGATGGCTCCATCCAAACTCTGCTACAGACCTGAGGCTGAAAGGTCACCTCTGCACCAGTATCTGACAGACTGGAGAACTGGGCCATACTGGTCCAGATTGTGTAGCTGTTTGCATGCTTCTTGGCATAGGTTTGGTCCATGTAACACTCCTCCAAACTACAGGTTAGCCCAGTCTGGGCAATGGCAGAGGCCAGGGACCATTGCTGGTAGCCAGGATGGGTGAGGTTGCCTCTTATTAGAAGAGAACTAGCAACATGGGCATGACTGTTCAGCTGTTGGGCCAGCAAACGGGCTCTGCTGGGGTGATTTGGAGAGGTGGAACCAGTGTGGCCTCTTGGGTTGCTCTGGGACAAGCTGGAGGACATCACTCTCCATCTGAAGGGGAAATCCCAGTGTGGCAGTGGTGGCACAGCCAGCTGAGCCACCGTCAAAGCATGGTTATGGCATGGCAGAGTGCAGGGCACATGGTGCCATCCTGTACTGGTGTTATAAACCCCGGGGCTCTTCCAGTGCAGAAGAGATCCCAGCTGTGATCAACCTTCCCCTGCACACCAGAGACCACCGTACAGGAGGAGACATGGGTGTTGTTAACAGCGCAGGGGAGGGGAGATCTGGTAAAATCCATGCAGCCTTAGACCCAGATGGCCAGACTGGGACATTCTGGGGTGCTCTGTAGCTCCCTCCCTGCCCCTGCACTTGGATTTCCTCCCATGGTGCCTGGATGGGATGTAGTAGAGATGTGGCTGCAATGTTAACAAGGGATAAAACAACACATCCCCATTCCCAGCATGGATGAAGCTGGGTCTTATGGAGCTTTAACAGTATTTTCAAGCAAAACAACTTGTACTTTAGGTTTTTCCCTTCTTGGTATTGGGAACAAGCTGAAATTTGACTTTTCAGTGATGGAAATACTTCTGGAGCCAGCAGAAAGCCAGAAAATGGGCAGGGGAGGGAATCCTCCATAGTCAGAGGGTAATGGGGAGCTACTCGAAACACAGCCTCTTCCTGCTCCGGGGAAATGCAGCTTACTCTGAATGAGCATGAGACCCAAACCCACCCCTCCTCCATGGCTGACCTGTTAGAGATTACTCTTTCCCTGGAACAGTTTTATTTTGCTTTTGTTTTTTTTTCTTTTTTTCTCTTTGTGATACAGTCTGAAACCAAAAGCAGTTAAGAAATGCTATAAGGCAATAGGAAGGTGATAACCAAAACTTATGAAGCGATTCCAACTGGTTTGATAAATTTTACAAAGTTTTTTTAAGTCTAGAGCTTTCCACTCAACAGCTCCCAGTTTAACAAGAGCGAAATCTTGATGCTAAGGGACACCCTTAATTTCATCCCATGAGCTGCCCAGTACCCCATGCCTCACTCAGTTATAGCCCACAGGCACAGAGATCAGACCTTCCGTGGGCAGGATTTGGCCGCTCACTGCTCCTTTCTCTCTGAGACAGGCTTGTGCTTCTGCTGCCAGGAAAGGGCTCCCGAAAACACAACGTCGGCCACTGCCAGACATTTGCACAGCCCCTTGGCTGGAGATCCCAGCAGCCGGCCGCTTGGCAGCACTGGTTGCAGGCAGCTGTTGCTATGGTTGTGCAAATGGATCCCCTGAGAAGCCAAGTGCCAGGCGAGGGGCTCATTCATTCATTCTCTGTGGGGTGCTGGATGAGCACAGCAGCTCGACCCCGGTGCTGGCAGGGAGCTCAGCTGCAGCATCTCTTGCAACAGGCAGGCATTGTCGGTGCTGCTGGTTTTCTTGAGGATGCTCCTGGCAAGGGCAACGAGACAAAAGGGGCCGTTTGCTTCAGATGCTGACAGTGGCTGGAAAGAAAGTGCACGGTTCAAGGATGGGATGCGGGGTGAGGAATTGGACCAACTGCAGAATCCCAGTACTGACCAATGCCCCCTCCTAAAACGGTGGAGTCAGGCTTCTGCGGGTCACCGAAATCAGCAGGCTGGTGCCCAAACCTGCTGCACTGCTTCCCGCTGCCTCTCTCATTCCCCATCTCCACAAACCTGGGCGTGGGGCATCCATCCAGATGCATCACGCAGAAGCGTTAGCGTAGGGCTGAACCCGTGCAAAAAAAAAAAAAAAAAAAAAAAAAAAAAGCAGCGCAGGGTGCAGGAGAGTTGTGAGTACCACCTCTGCGGAGGCAGCCTATGGCACCAGCCTTTGAACCTTTTCAGTCAGCAGGGTTGACTCAAAGGGCATTACGGGCTGAGCGTAGTCCACAGCCTCGGACAGCCTGGCCAGGCTTGGCTGTGCCGAGGGGTGCGACACCCATGCAGGCTGGCACTGTTGGGGACTCCAGGCTGGCACTGGGGACCTCAGCCATGAGCATCTTGCAAACCCTCCTGACAACCGCAGTATGAATCTGACTCACTCTGGGGCTGCTGCGATGCCAAAAGTCTCTTTCCACAGGCTGCCGTTTTCTCTGTTTCAGGCTGAATAAGCAAATGCTGGGTTAGCAGCAATGTTGAGCCCAACAGCACGCTGATGGGACAAGGTCCCTGGTTGGACTTGGCCAGAAAAGTCTTCTGTGTGCTTTGGAGCCTGTGGCTCACCTGGAGCCTGGGGCATATACATTTGTGTTGTCTGTGATATGCCCACGTTTTCGTCCAGGGAGGGATTTGCAGCTCACAATAAAACTACTTAACACCAGTTACCCACCACCAAACACTTCATTTTTGCTCTGGGTTTCTTTGAGGGAGCCCAGTCCAGGAAACCACTCAGCCTGTGAGGGGATCCAACAAAGCCATCACACCCACAGGGACGTGTCTTCTCTTTGCTGACTCCCATATGGCCATGGAGATGTGAGGTGCTGGGTCTTGGATCATGAGGAACTACTTCAGAAGCACGCCTGGTTGACAGGATGGGTGCAGATCCTGGTGGCCCTGCAGTCCAGAAATGTCTTACGACTCCTTCACCCAGAGCCACACCACCATGGACAACCATGGACAAACGTCCTCGCATCTGGCCTGAACAGAAAGTGTAAGATTTAGGGTCTATATGGAGCTTTCCTTCTTGTCAAGGGCCTTTTGGTTTTAGTTTTAGTTTGAAGGAGTGTCTCTTCACTTTCCATGACAGTGTAGACAGTGCAGCAGCTAATCTCAGCCCAGACTAGGATTACCTGGCCGTTTTCAGATAGCCAAACTGATGTGATTGCAAAGACATCCATAATTCCCTTTGACCTCCTCTTGCGGCCCATGGTGATGTCTGCCTTGAAAGGTCTCTGTGTAAGGGCTTAAGCCATTTTACAGCAATTTAGCATGTGCGGTTGGGCTACCTCGCAAGAGTCCACACCTGCAGAGGGAGGAGATGAGGATCACATCTCTTTACAACCTCACCCCCAAACCTGTTCCTCCTGAGTGTAAAGGCATGGCTTGAGAGATTGCAGCCTGAGGCTGGGAATCAAGGGACTTACAGGGACAGAAAGGTGGAAGATAGATATTGTAGTGATGCTGTGGCTGAATACTAAAGGTAATTCTCCCCTCCTTTCACTTAAAAAATACTGTAAAGGCAGCGAGGCAGAGATGTGTTATAATCACATCTCTTTGCCATTTGTATGCCTGATGTGCCTGCAGTCCCCCTTCCCACCAGAGAGCTTGTTCCCATGGAGAGCTTGGCCAAGCTGGGGGTTGAAACTAGATGGTCTTTAAAGTCCCTTCCAACTCAAACCATTCTATGATTCCTAGCTGGAGAGCTTGTCTGGCCCAGCAGAGCCCTGGCAGCCAGTGGGGTTCAAAGACGGGTTTCTAATGAACTGGGGACTTGCAGGTTTTCCCCTCATCACCATCATGACAGACTTTCATCTCTTCCAGCAGCATTTCCAAGACCCAACAGCCCTTTGCAGGTTGCTTTGTGGGTACAGCGGGTTGTACATAGGCTGGAGTTTGGCCCCAGGAGGGAGATATCTGCTGAGGTTCCCTGGCCAAGAGCCTAATGCCATGTTCGTGATATCCTTTAAATGGTTTGCCTGGCAGGTAGCCCAGAAAATGACAGTTGTTTGTAGAAAAGCAGATGCTGACAGAAATATGGCTCTCGTCCGGGCAGACCTGAAGTGGTCCCCAGTCCATGGAGGGACAGGCAAGAAACCCTCATCATTCCTCATTTTCCTCTTGGGATTACCCTCAAGGCAAGAAAGAAATTGTTATGGGGAGTGGCTTCACAGCAGGCAAATATTCCTGTTTGCCACCCATCCCTTCTGCCCTGTCCTGCAGAAAGGAAGCAGAAGGAGCAAGGCGGTGGCTTATTTTGTCCTTGCTGCTCTGCCTCTGGGACATGACCCATGGAGGAAGGGGAGTGCGTGTTGCCCTCCAGCATGGATTCAGGAAAGACTCAGGATTTGCAGGAATAGAAATGGATCTTGGCTCCTGGTGCATAGTCCTTCCCCCTAGCCTTTAGCACAAATGGATGCAGGATTTGGCCCTTTCTTGGGTGGGGTGATATTTTTCAGTGGCTTGGAGAACAAAGAATCTCTAAGATGTGAAGAGTCACCTGTGTAACCTAAAAGAGGTGAAGTCTGTGCCCATGAAGGGACACTGGAGCCAGGCTGAAGAGCATGAAGACCTGGGTGGTGGGGCTGGTGGTGGACCCCTCTTGGGGACCTGACATGGCTTTTAGGAAGCAGCGATACAGCTCTGTGGCAAATATCTTGTGTGCTGGTGGATGAGAAAATCTTGGTGTCTAACCGACGGGATCACACTGCCTCTGCTATGTTTTCATGGAAGAGTTTGAGGACGTGACACACAGACATCTGCAAAAAAAGTTGGAAGGGGAACAGCAATCTCCCTTGAATCAAGCAGCTATGGTGACTCCCCCTCACACACCAGGCAGCGGTACCAAGAACCCCCTTCTCAACAAAATACAGCCTATAAATAATCACGTGTCTGCCTAAGGCTGGGGTTGGTATGGATACAGGGAGTGGGATTTAGCTATGCATTTTCTAGAACTTTCCTGTCTCTTTGATTCCATCCACAGCAATTTTCAGACTGTCCATTCTGGAACAGGAATTGGCTCCTTTCCCACAGCAACCAGGGCACAGTAATATTTTACAAGCGCACAAAAGAAAAAAAAAAAAAAAGAGAAAATATTTTAAAATTGAGTGAAAGTCACTGTGTGCAAATTCTGCACTGAAAAAAAAAAAAAATGAAGTGCATATGAATCGAGGGAGAAATTAATAATTATATAATTGCAAGATAAAGCCTCACTCGGATGATAAGAAGTGCATGGATTTGGACCAGAACAACTCCTTCATTCTGCAGAATGTACTTTGAGCTTTGCACGGTATGATAAAAAGAGAAGTAGGCATTGCAGTTTTGCAGCAGACCTGATGACCTGGCTCCCAGGTGCAGTAAAATTGCAACCTCTGCGTTGTTCCTTGAGCAGTGTTCATGTGTCATGTGGACCCTGGAGCTTCGTTTCACGCTGTGTGCTATTTTTGTCAAGAATTATAGAGACTGTGTCTGTGGCATTTGAGAGGAGTGGCACCAGGTACGAGCTGCAGTTGGTTCTGACCTGGAGGATGCGTTACAGTTTAGACCTGTTGCTCTGCAGAGAGCTGCAGTGTTTCCCCATGTCTCTACTATATGAGGACATAATATCCCATTTCAGCTTTAAGGAGATTTAGGATCCTGCTAGATTATTGTTTTTGTTTTTTTTTTTTTTTCTTTTCTTTTCCCCATAGAAATTATCAGTACCATCACGCCAATGTTTTAAAATGGGGAAGGTATTTGTTTTTACACACAAAGCTCTGGAATCAGGGTGACTTATCACAAAAAAAAAAAAAAAAAAAAAAAAAAAAAAAAGAATACAAACCAGTCCTACTTATTTATCCTTAAATAAAAGCAAACAGGAGGTACAAGGAGATCTTAAATGAGAGCATCTAATAAGTCTTCTCTGATAAGCCTTAGCTGAGGTGAGCTGGAGAGGACAGGAGACTCCCAAAGATGAAAATCCAGGTCCCAGAGGATAAGGGCATGGGTGCACCTGTCTCACAGCTGAAGCTGAACAGGGCATCTCCATCCTCGTGTCCTTCATCCCTGGGTGCCAGATCTGTGATGAATACCCAGAGAAAACCAAAATATATAACCCGCTACACATGATGTAACCCATGAGCTGGGCGAGGCAAAGGGTTTGGATGATTTTTTTTTTTTTTTTTTAGCTCAGTCCCCCCCTTCCCAGACAACGCCAAGGGTTCCAGAGGGACAGATGGAGAGGACACAGCTCTTCCCAGGCACTATTTAGGGCATCTGCTTTACCAGGTGGCAGCTTGGTGGCCATCAACCCTTCCCAGTCTCTGCAGACAGATAGTATTTGGCTTGGGTGGGATTTGATGTACCAAGTGGTGCTTGTTTGCACACAGACTTCTCTTCTCTTGTTCCTATGCCAAAACATGGGGCATGAGGGAGGTGGGAGGTAGAGGGCAAAGATGAGCACTGACTGGAAGCGGTTCAGAAGAGTCTTTAATGACATGGGAAAGTCTCAAGTCATTAGTGTCTTAGGGAATTAAATAGAGCATTCTTATAAAATCTGTGATGACACCGAGATGAAATGACTGAAAATCCTCTAGAGGCCATGATTAGAATCGAGAGGGAACCCAAGAAGTGGAAGAAAAGGTCCAAAATCAATAAGAAAAATACAATAAAGGGTAAAATCTTACGTATGGGAAGATTAAAAAATTAAAAATCAAGAACACAGTTAAAATGGACAATTGATAGCTCAGGACAAAGCTATTGGGGACTGTACAGACAAGGCATAGTGCCCCCTCTTTGCTGCCATTGCAAAATGCCAGGTGTCATCAAGGGGTATTAACAGGAGTTTTGGGGTAAAACACAAGCATTACGGTTGCAGAGATCAGACTGACTCCAGAGAAAAGCCAGACAGCAAAGGGATAGTGATCTGATTCTCAGGGACCCTCTGGATGCAGTGAGGTCCATCAGTCTTGTGGGAAGAGGGGGACATGGTGGCCTTTGAAGAAATAGGTGGTTGCTGCAAGGATGGTGCTTGATTCCTCTCCAGGTTCCTGGGTCAGATAGGAAAGAAACCACTTCTGCATCAAAGTTGCCTTCATACTGGAAAAATAATTCATCAGCAAACCCAGTGAAGGCTTGGGTTCCATCCCAGCACCAAACAGAATCCCTGCAAGTGAATAATTCCTCTCCTAAAGTCCACCTAACCCAACTGTCAACTCACTGCTGGCTTTTCTCTCAGCACAGTGCTGCACAGCTGTCTTCATCACCCTCTTCTTCACGCGTTTTTGGCTGGTTAGTGCCCTCTACACAGCATGGTGGTTCATAGACAGGGAAAAACCCAGCAAGGGTGGGAGGCGGATCCACACCATCCGGAACAGCGTCGTCTGGAGGTACATGAGGGACTATTTCCCCATCACGGTAAGTACCATCGATCCCATCAGCTCTCAGGAGATTCAGGGACCAAATTTGTCCTTGGTGTTTGGAGGTGGTCTGGGGCCAGCAGTCATGGCATGGGGTGCTGGGAGGTCAGTGTTGAAGGATTGTCTTCCCAGCTCCCAAGACCTGCAAGATCCAAGAAAAAAGGTAGACCACCATTTTCACAACTACATCCTTTAATCATCTGCCTTTTACACACCCATTTAACCTCACTGTATTCCAGCAGTTAGGGAAATCTCCCCTTGCCTGTTTTCCATGTCTATATTGCAACACTCCTGCTCTTCAGGTTGCTCAGCATTTACCCAGTGGACACAGGGCCAAGTTTTGACCAAATTCCAAGAGATCCTGGTGACCTGCAAGGTCATCATCCCCTTCTGCTGGGGAACAGGCTAGGTGGGTAAAGCTGGATGTGCACTGGGCAGTCTCACAGAGTTGCTGTTCCCTTGAGAGGGACTTCTGTGACATTTCCTGATTTCTTTTAATGCATGTGGCTCGCCTTTGCCCTTACTCTTTATCTGGTATCCCCTTGGCACGGTATGAATGCATGGACCAGCACAAAGTCCTGCCTCAGAGCCATCACAAGTCAGTACAAATTTGAACAGTGCAGAACAAGTGTTCATGGGCCATGAAAAGGAGTGAGTTTTGAGGGTGGACCAAGCTATGGCAATTGGTAAGATAATTCATTTAATGAAACTTTGTCTGTTGAGGGAACTCAGATGGGATGCACACAGGTGGTTAGAGAGAGCCTGGAGTCAGGATCTGGGTGCTGCAATCCAGCTAAAATGAAGTGGGGACCCCAAACAGCCAAAGGACTCATCAGCCCACAGGAAAAACAAGAACCCAGTCTGAGAGTCCATCCTGCACAAAGTAGGGCCTGGAATAAGGATTAGGGGGAGCTGGATCAAAGTGAGGACCAGAGATGACATGCCCAAGGTCACCCATCAGATTTGTTGCTCAATCAGAAATAAGAGCCAGCTCTTTAGAATACCAGCCCTGCACTTCAACAGTAAAACATGAGATTTGCCTCTTCAGTTTGTCCAGGAGAAAAAACCCACATATCCACAATAAACACACCTGAAATTTTCAAGGTTCTGGAGTGCAGACTGCAAGATTGGTGTAGAAGGAGATTAAGTTAGAGTAGAAGTCAAGACTGGGCAAAAAAAATTAGAAGATAGGGTCTGTCTGGATCTCTCTTACCATTTCTGAGTGTATCTTACACATAGTTGTGTTATAACAACTCAGATGAGCACATCTGCTCCTCAAATGATGGTGCCTAAAGTGTATCTTCTGATGGCACATAATCCTCTTTTGCAGGCCACCACTCAGTACAATATTGACCCTAGTGCTGCAGGTAAAACGGGGGCTTTGCCAAGCCAAAACCTAGTTACACAGTGTGTCCCAGCAAACACTGCTCCTTTTCATCAGAGCGGAAACATCACTTGATATCAAGGCAAACTGCAGCATCCAGAAGAGCAACACCATGAATATACTTAGATCTGGATGTAAAGGCACCACCTCCAGACTACTCCAAGAGCAGATGTTGCACCAGTAAAATCAGAGTTTTTTTATTTCACTTGATTTTCCCTCCCCTCACTTTGATTTTCATCTCATCTCCAATATGCCTCTTGGGTTGGTGAAGGTGAAGGAGAAAAGGACAGTGTTGTCTGTGACTATGTCTGGTTCATGGCATATCTCACTGTGCAAGCTGGGATTGCCTCTCACAGGACCTGGGTGCAACTGGTAGAGATAGATGTGTTGGGTTGAACCAGACGATCACCCTCCCTTTCCACTGCGGTGGACAATTCAAATAAATCTACTGAATTTTGTGCTGGAAGCTGGCATGAGTTAGCCAAATTTCCCATGTCTCAGCTGGGTGATCTGCATCTCCAAGTTGGCTCTCTCCAAGACCATCCATCAAAGTAAGTCTACCTTGTGTCTGTCCTGCTGCCATTGAGTTTCTTTGCTCAAAGGCATGGCAGAAAGTGATGCCAAGGACCTGGAGTGAGTTATTTTATGGCTCATCTCAGAGATTAACTTGTGATTTAAGGGCTTCTGAGGGAGCTTCAAATCAAGGCCCCCAGAAAGTATATCATAATATTCTGCAGAGGAAAAGTAACACATCCCAGGAAAGCTTGTGGTGAGTTTTACAATAAGGGACAGGTAATATTTCATTAAGTTTAATAGGAGACACCAAGTGAGTTCCTAATAAATTATTCTCAAGGTTGCCTTAGAAATTGCTAGAATCACTATGAGCTATTTATGTGGCTGTAATGATTATATGCAATATATATTCTGTAAATTATTTGCGGCCACCACTTGGGCAGAGCTGGACCACCCTCTCTGCTAAAACTTTGCTGCCAGCTCAGCCCAGCCCAGTGACAACTCCTCTCCTGTCCCTTTGTAAGGACATGGAAACCCCCTCCTGAACGCCACACTGCATTGTCTGTGTGTCCTTCCCTCCCTGGGTGCCACTGCCGGGCAGGGAAGCCCTGACAGCATGACCAGTAAGACCAGTAGAGGGAGCGTGGCTACTGGGTTTGGATGCAGCTCACTGGGTGAAGGCAGGGAGGGTTCAGTGGAGCCTTTCTCCAGCAGAAAACGAAAATATAATAAAAAAAGTATTACAGTTAAGCAATCACATAATACTATTTCCCAAAAACACTTTCTCAATCTTCCACACTTTGTTTGCTCAAGGACTTTCTAAGCCAGAATATAGGATTTAGCACCTTACTGAATTCACCTGCTGCCATTTCTCACTACAAGAGCATGGAAAAATGCCTGGCATCCCCAGCATCCTGCAGCAAGGAGCTCCCCAGGTGAATCTCACAGGGTGAAAGTCTGCCTGCTCCCTGATCATTTCGCTGGAAATTCTCTGCTTAGCCCATGCAAATCCTGTCCCACCTACCCATGAAACTCCTGGTTTTATGCTCTGTTATTTATATCCCCCATCTGACAGCTTTTCTCCCACCTCAAGACCAAAAGTGTGTTTGCTCCCTTGCTTGGAAGGCATTTAATTTCATACTGCCAAGCACGAGCTGATTTGTTCCTAGCAGAGTGGAAGTTAAGGACTGTAAATATTACTTTAACCATCCCGTTCGCTGCTCTCATGATGAATTAAGCGGAGCTTTCAGTCTGAACATGCACAGCTGGATTATCCCATGGATCTCTCATTTGCCAGAACAGGGACCCAAAGGGAGCGGGATTTGGGGACATGGACCGGGTGGACACTCAGCACCCTGTGCCTTGTTTTCATGTAGATTGAGTTTGTTCAGCCCTGGAGAATTAGTCATTCTGGGAAGATTAACTGTGGCTCCTAATCCTCCCAGATACTAGCAGCAAATTCAGCATGGCCAAGCACCAGTGTTTGGAGGCAGGAAGAGCTGCCTGATCTTTTATTTTAAGAAGTAGCTGCAAATTCTGCCTTTAAGGGATCCCTGGGCATATTTTCTGTTGTGGAAACAGAGAGGTTGAGATGAGCATCTGTTTTCCGGGGATATGGGCAATGTGATTTTACATTTTGCTGCAGAGAGAATGGGAACGTGCAGGCTCTGAGCTGTGCAAGGAGCACCCTCTGCCGATACCACCCTTGCACAAGTGCCACTTCACTGCTTGGTTTATTCCCCTTGGAGCTGCCTGTATTTTAATTAGAGGTTTGGGAGTTATAGGGTCAGGCAGGACCAGTTTGGGTGATTTTAAAAGGGGGAAGAGAATAAAAGCAGTGAGAATTCAAGGCGGGGTCAAGTGCATTGCCCAAGAAGACTACTTCTGCTTCATCCCCCTGTATTTTAGCACTGTTCTAGTCCTTTTTAATACACCCTCATGATAGGCCTGCAATATATGGCTGAGCTCAGCTGCATCTTAAAACTGTGGAAGATATACCAAAAGGTGCAGAATTAATCTGTTTGGGGCAGAGTGCATTTGAACAGATATCCAGTGATGTCTGCTGTGGACTCATGTTGCCCACAGAGAGATTTTGGATCCTGCAGACTGCTCTATCTATGCTATGTACAAAAACCAGACAAAAATCTGCCTGCTGCTGCCAGGTCTCTGCCCAAACCTTTGTCTCCATTTGCACAGTCCCTTCCCCATTATTTATCAACACATCTTTATGAAGGATACACCCAGCATTACAGTAAAAACAAATTTCTCCATCACATGGCCAAGCAAATGCACATCTTCACTGCTTCTTCTCTCCAGCCCCTCCTACCACTGTGCTGTCACCAACCTCCCTCATACCCCCCAATATCCTCTGATAACCTCAGCTGAAGAGCACCATGGATGTGCAGAAGGTGAGGACAGGGCTGAAATGGGGATAGCAAAACCCTGACAAGATCCATCTCTACCATAGTCCTCAAACAGAAGTCACTGTCCTTCTTGATGACTCTCAGTTGGGGCTGGATGCTTGGCTTAGACAAGACATTTCAACTTCGGATCACACAACCTGGATTACGAGTTAAATCTAGCAGCCTATTCAGAGCAGCCTGAAAAGTGAATGCTGAGTGGAGAAGGTCCCTGTGGTCTTCACTGCACTATTTTCCCCTTGTGAAGAGCCACAGGACATTTCTTACTATCCTTGGGGTTATCTAAGTGCCAGTTGGACCTTATTATCTATAACAACTGGCAGAGTCCCAACCTCTGTCATTGTGCTTGGGGACCTGCTGGCATTATTGTTTTTTTATTAGCATAACTAAAATGAGTTATTGGAAAGTTAGTTGAACCCTAGGAGCTGTGATCTGAGATGGTTCCGTCCCACAGCTCATTCATTCTCATAACTGCATAAACCATGACGGGGGTTATTTGAGTGTGTTGTGGTTCTGGGGAAGTACGAAGCATTGCAGAGAGGGAACAGCTCCAGTTTGTGTGAACTAAGCCCTGCCAGGAATGTATTTTTTCTTTTCATGGAAGAGTGGTATTACTTGTAAATAAGGATTTTATGATGTTAAATATAATTTCTGATTTCCAGCAGTCTTGACTTTTCACTT